CAGTCTTAACACATTACTAAACTTCCCACTGAGCAGGAGGAAAATGTAAGGAAGAAAAGGGAGGGATACATCACTGCCTTCAACTCTACTTGTGCAAATTTACGATGCTGTTGAAACGGTGCTCCAAGATCTGCTTCAAGGAGATCTTGGTTGGTTCCCTAGTAGTGGCTTTAAAATTTAACCACTCCCACACAGGAAAGGTGTGGTCTGCACGCTGCACATGCCCCAGTTTTATCAGTCACTGTCCGGATTTCCACAAACAATCAGGAAACTAAAAAAGTATTTGGTAAATGCAAAGTATAGGTCCAGGTAACCCCCAAGATTGCCTATCATTCATTAAAGTTATGAGCTGCAGGGAGAGGAGTGTCAAGCGTGTGCATCACTCCACTAAGACTGTGGGATAGGGGGTAAAGCACTGGGACACTGGAGATCTGGTTGTCTCCCCTATACTGCCTCTCATCTGCTCTTGTTTTAGGCAAGTCTCTCCACTTTTCTGTACCTGTAAAGTAGCAATACTGATAACAAATGCTTCTTTTGTAAAGCAGTAACATCTGCTAAAGCAATGAAAATATCTTCATTCATATTAATAATAGTAATTGATGGCGCCCATCTGGAAGCAAAAAAGTGCAGGAACAGAACAGAAAGTATTTTGCTGGAAATATAGCAGTCAGGAGAAGTGTCTGTGTCATGTGTTGTAAATATGGAAAACAGAATACAAAGGCCCATTTAATTCACATGAGATTCCCGATCCCTCATGTACCACGTTTGGTGCTGATTTATTTGAATTAAGATGGCAAGAAAGTCCCCTCTCGCTGTTTTTTGTTGGATTTTAGTTTAGTTCTCTTTTGTTTTTAATCAAGCTCTTGCTCAAGCCATATGAGTAAGAATTCAGTAACACATTGTAAATCACAGTTTGCAAGTTCTGTGACTGCAGATGAGATAGTAAAAGATAATGCTGTATAATTCACATGTGGCTTGTTCGTCATTCAGGCACCACATGTCAGAGTCTCCCTACACACAGCTGAGTGTGAGCAGAAAGGTTGGTAGAGATTGTGAAGAACATGATTTTAAAGTCCTGGTTATTAAAATCCTTTAGTTATTGCTGAAACAATTCAGAATCTTATGAGTACAACCTATAAACCCTTTTTTTTTAACCATCTTTGAGTCAAAGTCAATTCACTATGAAACTGCTCCAAAAGAGGAGCTGACAAAAAAACAGAACAGAAGAAATATGCAGTCACCAGTACAACCTTTTCCAAGTAAACTGTAGATAAAATTATATTCCAAAATAGAAATGTGACATCCTATCATGATAACAAAAGATTTCCCAAAGCTCTGCATCCCAGTTAAACATTCCAGTTAAACTTTTTCAGCAATGTAACAGGTGTCAGAGACTGTAATTTGCTACGGTTGCTCGGACGAGGTTTATAGCAGAGCCATTGCCCTAAACCCACTTCGTAGGCTTTAGAGAGAAATAGGTGAATTGTAATCCAAAAGTGCAATTCCTCTATGTTCTCCCTAAAGAAAGTCTCAGTTCTGGTGTCTACCATACAGATGTAACTCACAGCACTGGTGTATATAGTGTTTAATGAAATTAGGCCCCAAATTGTCTGACAATTGACTCCTATCATAATATAAAGACTGACTACTGTTCTGTAGTCCTGTAGGTGCCAGCGTGCAGAATAAACAGCTGTACAGTTCTGCTCAGCTATAACTGACTGGTTTCTTATTTCTGAGGATACCTGAGCTCCTCATATGGCTCCATTTGTATTACCTACCTCATCACCCAACAGAAATGCCTATTTATCTAAAAGCCTAAACAGGCTGCTGCAGGAGGAAGTCATGGGGTTGTAAAGGACATGTCAGTCAGGACAGCCCTTCAGACAGATACACAACGGAACAAGGAATGATCATCCTTTTTGTTGGAAGACATCCACAGCGACACCTGTCTGAGATATCTCTAGGTAAGTTTTGTACTGATTGGATGTCATCAGCTACCAGCCAGCTTTACATGAATTTAATTTTTAGCTTGATCTCAAGCTAAAAAAAGGGCCAATGCAGTCTAAACAAGCACAGTTTTGACTATCAGCAAGTGTCTCACACCCCTGTTCCCTAATTAATGTATTTGAAACCTTTGGCCAAAATCAGGAAAACATGACCTTGTAAATACTTTGCAAAAATGAGCATCCAGATAAAGGAGAGATGCTCATCAAGTGGTCTAACTGAAGGAAGACTGTTATGTGGGTTGACAGCTTAGTGCATCAGAGAACTTGAAAATGCTTCACACTTCAGTCAGTCAGAGCTCACCTTGTCTTGGACATCAAAATCACACTTGGAAAACTACGTGCTTTTAAAGGGAGATGAAATCACTGCTGGAATACCATTCACCTCTCAACACTGACTTCCACTGGGTGAATACTCGTAAGCCATAGATGTGATCACTAGTAACGTCTTGTAAACATGTGATTTTGGCCCAGAATATGTAGCAATGGTGTTAACATTATGAATAAGCTAAAAACTAAGAACCTCTGACCCACACATAACATTAATTCTGTACAGAGCTGCTTCTGTTTTTTCTGGGGTTTAGCCCTTTAGATTCTTTCTAAATGTTAAGGATGCAGAAAGCTTAAATAACTTTAAAAAGAACAAACTCTAATGGACTAAATTATAATGAAATGGTCTTTATACCTATATAAATAGATATATCTATAGATATAGGTACATATTTAATATAATTTAGTATATTACATTCATATTATATTATATGCATTATATGTGTGTATATATTACGTATATATAAAATAACAGATATTTGAGAGGACCTAGCAAAAGAACGAAAGGCTTTATATTAGGTACTACATGAGAAGGGCTTACCTGAAGTTTACATGAAAATGCACGTTTAGACACTTATACAGAGCATGCAGAAGGTATGGCACCAGTATTCTTCCTTTCAAACAGAGGAATGACCAGTTAGGGGTTTATGGAGTTTTTTAAGAACTATTTCTAATTTCTAGTATATTTTGAGTGGAATATTAGCATTTGAAGGCATGATGTTTATTAATAGCGTAGATTGTTCACCAGCTGCAGTTTAAGAAGTAATAAAATAAAAGTAATTTTACAAATATCCGTATTAAAAAATGAACTGCAACAAAATCTATCCATAACTATTAGTGAAGTCTTACTTTTACCTGTAAAACAATATGTAAGGGAGTGTTGTTTTGTCATGTGTCTCAGAAGAAAAATCACAGCAGAAGAAAATAGTATTTAGGTTTATTATGTCTCAAAATATAGAAATATATTCCAACAGCATATTTTAAAGAATAATATAACAATAATCTTCAGTTTCTTATTCTCAAAATGGTACACCATTATTTAAAAATATATTACTTAATGTACCCAAAATTTAGTTACCATCAAATTCCATTTAGAATAAGTTGAGCTCAAAAAAACATACCCACCTACTCAATTTATACAGAAATCTGTATCGGTAAATTTTTTGAAGACAACCCAGGAATTTAGCTGTTCTCGGTTGGAGACATTATATTTTGCTATACACCCTTGTGCGTGAACTGCAACTAAACGTAGATATTTAGGTAATCTCAGTGTAAAATAGAGATAGAAGTGTAAGATAGAACTGTTGTTAAGTGGAAAAAGCTCCCAAGACTGAAGTTAGAATTGTCGATTTTTTTAAAACACTGAGTGTATACATAAAAAGGATTTATGTATTACTCCAATAGCAAGATAAAATAAATTAGTTTCTGCAAAAAAGACAGTTGAGCATTCATGTGCGTACACACAGTCACATGCACACGCTGATTTTATCAGCCTGTAATAATCTGAGTTTTCTGAAATATGCTTTAAATAACCAGACAAGTCAAAGATTACTTGAATATACTGTCTATGGAGAAACTGATATGTTCTATTTGTTTTTTTTTAGCAACACTCTGAGAACTGTTTAAATGAAGTATTTTTAATCAAGGCCAGTCATGATAAAAGCATATATTATAGTTAGCTATGCAATAAAGAGAAAACAGAGCTTCTATTTTCCCATTTTCATAGCATTAAAACAAAGAGATGTCCAAAGACGTTAAATGTGGTAAATTCAAAATAAGCATATGGATACTGCTGGTGAGAATGAAAATCTGTAATTAGTTGTGCAATTCACAACCACAGGATTTCATCTGAGGCCAAAACTTTAGGGATATTAGAAACTATTTATATGCATTTAAGAATTTTCAAAGTTACTGTAGTTAATGATAAAAGAAAAAGAAAGATATCCCATCTTACATCTCATGATTTAAACCACCTGAAAGAAAAGAATATGGGACCGAAAGTAGACTGTAAATTACCCAACAGGTTCTTAGGAAAGGTTTTTTTTTATCTTTCCTTGAGAACAGCCACCATCAGGGACAAGATTTTCGATTAAACAGGCGATGACTGCTGCACACAACTGCTGCGTCCTCGGTGCCTTCCCTCATACACTCAGAAAGCGTGTCCAGAAGTGCCAGCTAAATGGAGCAAAGTCCATCCATACCCTGTCTTCTGCATATTTTAGTGTATATAGTAACTTGCCTATGGAAAGGGAAGGCTTATGTGGGTTTTTTTGTGGTGTTTATTATTTTTTTTGGTAATTTTTCCTTATGCTGTTACTATAAAAATATTTGCTGGAACAGTGTAATAGATAATAGACTGATGTGATTTGAGGTAAGAATGTTGTAGTTCAATTTTTAGTGTTAACTTGAAAAGTCGTAGATAGAGGTGAGAGTCTGTCTCCACAGAATTCCCAAAGCTTGGAGCCTTTTGCAAACTCTGCAGCCCACAAAGCCAAGAAGTAACATACTCTTCCAGTTACACTCATCTTGTTAAAGAAAATAGTTACAACAATTATGTGCAATCTTTTCACTTCTATTTTCTATCTACTATTTATTTACTTAAGCACTGTTCAACATTTCACTTTTTCTAATGGAGCAGAACTTCTAAAAGAAAAAAATATGTTTAGCCAAGCAGTTTTGTTTAGTTTTTTTCCTGTGCCTTTCTCTAAATAAATATCCCACCACAGTTTTCATTGGCACAATATGACCAAATGTATTTTAGTTCCTTTAACAATATGAAGCAGTTACAGAAGTTCTGGAGATTTTAGCTTGAAAAAAAAATCTATACAAAGGCTTTACTTTAAAATATTGAAATGGAATGAAATATATTCCAGTATGGTCAACTGAAAAATTAGTTTGTGAAGTTCTACTGCATAGTGAGGTGACCCATAAAATAAATGATTTTGAAATTTTGCTCATACAAAAGAAACTATATACTTTAAAATAAATAAAAGCTACTATATACATTATACTGTACATTTAAATGAGAGATGACATGAAAAGGAATAAATTTAGGACTGCCTTTGCATCAGCAGGGCTCATATCTTGACTTTATTACAGTTCTGAACAAAACCCTCTGCTTTAGATTACTACTTTTTATTCTAGTGGCAGCCACATGAACGCACCACCATATTCCTGTATTTTTTTAAAATAACATTGGAACTGTCATCAAAGTAGAGCACAGAGATTGCATTCAGTTTTGTTGGTGCACAGCACGGCTTTGGTACGTGGTCAGGGAACATCAAGTGAACCTGAAAGACAGATAAATACATGGCTCATATATCAAACAGAGAGGTACAAGGACAACGTCAGCGCAAAACACGTCTTTGCAATCCCGAGGTTGCTGTGGTGGCAGATTTCCCTCGCTTAGCAACTTTAAAGGACAGCTTACCTCCAGAACGTTGCTCTGATTTCAATCTCGTGGGCAAAGTTATACAATAACAGCAGATGGAGAGAGAAATGAGGAGGAGCAGCCAGGACAGACAGTTGGTTTTCAGATGAAGTTTAGCAAAGAGTTGGAGTTAAGAGGCTGCTCAGGAAAACGCTTAAACATATTCTCAGTGCCGTCTCTGCTGAGGACGGTGCTTAACGTGAAGCACACACTGAAGTCCCGGGTCTCTCCGGGACACCGGCATGTGCTAAAATGCTCTGCTGTGTCAGGGTCTCAGCGTGGAGGAAAGTCTGCTGCAGGCAGCAAAGGCTGTGCAGGCAAGGGCTCCTACTGAAACTGTTTTCAGCCTGTGAAATGGTAAGAAGCGGGTTCTCAGACAGCGTGAGTGTATTTTGAGGTCTTATCTAGGTATCCGTGCACCCAATTTTGCCTCCGCTGAAGTGAAAATCAATTCATAAGGTGGGTGCCAGCTGGACAGCAGGTTTGGGGAAAAGGCTGAGGCAGAGGCGGCTTTATGCACACTAGGCTGAAATATATCAATGAAAGGTTACAGAGAAGGAAGAGAGTTTTGAACAGCATCCCAGAATGAACAAGATCTAGTGGAAATATCTGAAAATGGGGGAAATACAAGTTGTTTGTACTTGAAAGAAGGTTGGATGTAATATTCTGCACATGCTGAAGACTTGGAAACTGGGAGGCCAGAAAAGAGGGAGTTGTAATAGAGAGGGCAACAGATTATTAAGGCATGGATGAAGACTTCAGCAGTAATAGGTTTCGTTTGTATGTTAAGTCTTTGTAAATCTGTTAGAGCCATCTGTCTTGCAGTGATATAAGCCCAGAGCCTTTGCCAGACATCAGAGATCAGTCTATCAGGAAACGATTTTTACATAACTGTTACCATGAGAAGGCCTTTTGAAAAGAGCAATAATAAATCCTGAAGTAGCACTTTGGTAAGGGTTTAGACACACATTTAAAAACATTAACATTGCTATTCATTAACAAACGCACTGAAGAAAAGAATGATCCTGCCTAGCCTAGGCAGACGTTTCCCCTGCCATACGTCCTGGTCCTACCAGCCCCCATCACCACCCAGCGGGGAGCTCCGTGGCCCTGCTAGCCCTGCGTGGCAGTGATGGTCACAGCCTTTTCAAGAGCGAGCCTGGAAGTCAGGGCTAGTCTGCTGGCTAATCCACTGACTTGCATGCCCATGAGGTCAATTCTACTCCAACGCCTGTTCAGAGAGCGGCGGGAAGCAAGAGAAAAGGCTCATCTAGTTCATTAAATGCAGTCTGTCCTGTATTTATGTATGTCTGTATTGTCTGTCTGCCTAGGTTCAGTCTCACAAAAAGAAGAGAGAGAGGTATTGGCCCAACATTTCTCCTATTCTTGTTACAAAAGAAAAAAAAAATGAGTCAGTAAAGTTTGGAGGGGTACCAAGGAACAGTCACTTCCCAACCCAAAGAGTGGGCTTTTTCAGAATGGTGTAATCAGCATGGCTGGGAGATGATTACACTTGGATTAGGGTGGGGTGTATGAATAATTGTTTCCCAAGCCATCCCCATGTGCACACCTTGTGTAAATCTGAATTTTGTATAATTTAAACCAGAAAGCATTCAACTACTGTTATCTCATCTAATTTATGTGCAGTTAAAATTTAATTAGCCTCACGATTTTTTGGCTGCACCACTGAATGCATGTACTGTACATGCAGAGGGAGACACATAATTCCAAAAAGGCCATAAAAAGGAGGGAAAATTTAAGTAGCCAATTTAAAATATAGGACAAATTGCACAAATTTCTCAACAATGGGAAATTAAGCATTTTTGGAAAGGACAGACACACAAGACAAAGTAGCACTGGGCCCCTTATTATTTAACATTCCCTAATTGCAGGAGGGAACTCTAACTTGGGGATCTCACCGATATTGGCAACTTTTCTGGACAATGTTTGCATAATGCTACACTATTGCTTTGCTGACTTCTTTCTTTTTAGCTCAGGACTGCATATATGCTGTTCTTCATCATCTCCTAGGGACAATAAGATATTCCTTGCCAACTAGTATTTGCTGCTCCCCTTCATCTGGACCCCTTACCTCAATTTTTCTGTTTATTTCCAGCCTCTGACTTTTTCCCTTCTTTTTGTGAATCTTGCTGACTTGATTCTGGTATAGAGGAATAATGTTGCATTGGCGGCTGGACTTGTAGAAGGTGCATAAATGAAAAGTTGAATGGAAAGGAAAAGATCTCAGCATATGCTGAGGTGTTAAAAATGTAGAAATACCTGGCAGTTTTCACAAGTAGATTTTGTTTTCTGTGAGAAGGAAACTAAACTTTCTTTGTTTGCTTGATTTCTTTTTACTTTTTTTTTTTTATTATTATTTTTTTGGATGGAGGCTGTTGTTTTTTTTTTTTTCCTAGGAGGGTAATAATAGCTGCACTCATTTCTGAAGGAGGTTTTTCAGGCCCAGGGTTTTTATGTCAAAATCAAAGAAAAAAGTCACCATCTATGGACAGACTTATCAGCATAGTCTGGTGGTCAGGATACTTTCCTATCATCAATTTAAATCAGAGGGAGACTTAAACTCATGTTTCTCTAATTGCAGTCGAGTGCCTTGACCTTTTCAGAAACTAATTAGGGATGGCAACTCTTTCCTGTTCTGATTTCGTACTCCCACTCTCTCTTCATGTATTATCTCTCATTCCTCTGCTTCTTAATCATTCTGTTAATACTGATGCTGTTCAGAGCCAGTTCTTTAGCTGGCACAGGTGAAAAATCATGACCAGGCATCAGACTCAGAATTACATTTAAGCATAGTCTGAAGGTCTTGATTTCTGTAGATACTGTGTTTTCTGAATTGTAGCTGAATGCTGCTGGGGTAGAGGAGGCCTAGCCAGCTGCTTCAGCTAAGATCATGTTTTTGGCTGCTCCAGTTGATGCACAGGACTAACATAAGAACTAGCAGAGGCAGAAAGCTGGCTGCAAATCCCTTTTCACATGTACCAGGCAGAGCAACAGATCCAAACACACTTATTTATAAATTACGTTTGTTAGCCAGCCATGACTGAACACCATTTCTTAGATGCAAATGCATCTGCTTGCAAAGCTTCACATTAAATTACGGTTTAAGTATCTCTGCCAATGGTTGACAACAGAGGTCCACAGGGTGGCCAAGTGTCAACATTTCTGGAAGGTATAGCATGTAGATCTTAACGTGGAGCTTCAATAAGCTGCAAAAAACTCTTGGAAGTGGGACCAGGGGGCCCCTTTGGTTCCTGTCTACACAATTCTCCAGTAATATGACACAGCCTTCTCATGTGTTATTGCATTTGAAATGGAAGGGAAACATACCACACAGGCCACTCTGGACAGTTCATCCTCTCTCCAGCGTAATCATCAAAGCACGTCTTTGACATGGCTTATCGTTTACACAGAAATAATCAAAACTCAGTAGTAGCAAACAGAGAGGAAGAGACAGCACTTGTCCCAAGACGCTTACAACTGCAAAATAGGCAACTACAACATAGGCAGAGGCATACCAGAGTCTGAACAATGGCGTGGTTTGTTGCGTTCATGTGGGCATTGAGGGGGAAAGAGCACTCTCCATCACAGTAAAACGCAGCATAGCCCTCCGGTGCAATAATCCAATCCTAAAACAAGAACAAATAAAATCACTCGATTTTTTTTTCTCTCACTCAGAGAATTTAAAACTATATCAAACTAACTGGGACTTGTCCAAGGACAAAATGAACTTCAGAATGTGGCATGTTAAATTACTTTTTTGCCAAAAAATTAATTGTATTATTGCATGAGACTCAGGGTTGTTGGAGTTTGCCCATCAGAATGTCACTGAATCATGCATTTTCAATATTTCTAGCAACACAGCATGAGGAAAAGACCATGAGAGGGAAAATATTTGAAAATGCTAATGAAAGCTATGTGTTTAGTTTACTGAATTCCTCCTTTTCCAGGCAAAGGTAATGGAAGTGCTGTGGGAAGGGCAAGTACCTACTTGCTGGGTTTTGATTCTTTTTATCTCATTTCACCCTGAGTTTCACTGATCAAATATTGTACAGTGCAGCTTTGGCTTTCCAACTGAAATTTTCAGTTCTTCAAGTATTTTTTTTGTGGAAAAAAATACGTTCTCTTTTCTCTATGGTCACCTTAAATGACTGATCTGAGAGCCTTGCACATCTTGGGGCATATAGGAATTTACTATTTCAAAAAATGAAAAAATACCTGGAAAAATCTGTGATTTACAGACAGACAATGGCTCGCTTGTTCAGTAGCCTGAGTTCAAGTCAATGCCACAAGCCTACTCTGTGGCCATGGACAGGGTGATTATGCTCTGCAGGCTTGGGAAAACAGTCTCTGCCTACTTCTTAAAGCTGCTGCTAAGTTAAACATACTAGAAAAAGTCTAGCAGAGTAATGAGGCTAGATGAGAATCTGAGCTAGATATGTAAAGGATGAGCTGTCACTAAAGAGATAGCACACTTTTTCTCCTTGTAGACTTGTTCTGCTCACAGAGAATTGTTTTAAAATAATTCAGAGAAATGTGAAATGCACAGCCAGCCATCTCTGAGTTCTTACCTACATATGCAATATGTCTAGGTTATAGGTTGCTGATGGACTTCTTGTTCTTTCTTTATAGAGAGCTCCTGGCTTTCTGGAAAAAAAACCTAGATTGATCTCTATTTTCATTTCTCAAATGCCCTGCCTCTGTCTTTATGACCTTTTACTACAAGTACCTTCTTTTTTTGTTACTGTATGGCAGGATGGATTTTTCCTAGAAATCATATAAGTTTAGCTATGGTGTTATAAAGATCACTGAGTGTTGATCCAAGCTCTAGCTCTCTATAGACCCTACCCTGATGAAATCTCTCTGACCTTCAGCAGACAACATTGAATTAGGGAGAAATCAGGCACAAATTTCAAAAGTTCCATTGCTTACTGTTGGGGATTTTGGTTTCATTTACTAAAGATCTATTTATAGCTTGAATAATAGTTCAGATTTATCTTTATGTGAATGAATCCAGATCTCAAAGACATTACTGTTTGCAAAATCTTTGAGAGAATAGCAGCCAAAAAAAGTGAAGTGATAGTGATAGGGATTCATTACAAAATGTATTTAAAGAATACATCTCTCATCAGTGAGACAAATCAATTATCTCTTCATCAATTATCATGAAGAAAACAGACTGTAAATAATGGAGGACTGTAAAATAGATTTTCCCAATTTGAATTGATAGGAAAGAGCATTCATAAACATACCTGCCATCCTAGGTCTCGGAAACTCACGTAAAGTTCATGTTTCTTACATGCTTGCTTTTGCTCACTTGTATTATAATCTGCAGGAAGAAAAAAATAGTAATAAATTATTTAGAAGCCTTGCTAGTGTTGACAAGATTTAGCTGGTTTTGAGCCCCTGACCAAACTGTATAGAGGAAAAGAACAGGCATACTGTCATTTATATTCCTAGGGTTAGTCATACAGGTAGGATAAACTTGGAAATACAGAATCAGCAGTGCCAGCCTGATACGATTTGTGTACACAGGCAAAACAATGCATTCAGCATTAGGGGAAACAGGTTCACAAGATGTCTGCGGGCTAGCTAGGTAACAAGTTTGGTAATATGTGCACAGGTAATTAAAGGAGGACAAGTGAGAGCCTGATTCAAGATAATGGGGAAGTCATCCATAAAAAAGTAGCCTCATTCAAAAGATAAATTAACAATGATAAAAATTGTCCTGAAACAACAGAATTTCCAAAAGTCTGTTATTTAAACATTAGCACATTTTGTATGCCTTCATTTTTTACCATATTTTCTGGAAATAGTCACCACTTGAGGATTTTTAGTTGGTAATACTAATGTAAATAAGTAGACTAACGGATGCTATTTAGAGGCCTGAATGTTTCTGCACTGTCAGAGGTGTGTCAGGACAGAAGGGCACACAGAACCTTCCATACATGCTTCTCCAGGACAATCTTAATCCTGGAGAAAATCCAGTACTTGTTCCTTACTGCCCCTGAGTAACAGGAAAGGAAGGGAATAGGGTCATGCCTTCACCACATTAACTGCCCAGAGTTGGTTTATAGTGCTATTCGAATGATGCCATCAGTGAGGCATGCGATGGAGAAGGGAAGACAGACTGTCTCCTCTGGTTCCATTTCGAGAATACTTCAAGTGGCTTTTTTGGACCAAAATAACCATTCTGGCAGAAAAAAAAAAAACAAACTATTGGCTGAGATTCACAACAACAAAAAAAACCAACCCAAACAGACAAGGAAGACACTGAAAAAGAAACAAAATGTTAATTTTCAGGAACAGAGAGTGTCTCTGTTGAAAAATTCCTGGAAAATTGAGAGAGGCTTTTTTCACATCAAGTGAAAGGAAGGGAGTTCTACAGTCTGTGAGATAACGCATTGTAGCGCTTTACTATCCTTGCAGAAAACTCTTCCAAATATCTGGCCTAAAATTGCTCTTCTGCATATTTACCAACTGCTTCTTGTCAACTGTCTCGATCTGTGCTACTGTTGCTTCTCTGAGTTCTCTTCAGTTTCTCTATGTCTTTCTGAAGATGTGATGGCCAAAACTGAACACAGTGCCAAATAAAGTAAAATAATTATTTCTTACAATTTCTGGATTATTTTCTAGCAGCATATCCCAGAACAGGAGTTTTGCAGCAAAACCATACTGTCAAATTATCAGCTTCAAATCCCCTTTTTGTATACTTTTTTTTTTTTTTGTAACAGGCTATGTACCTATTGTTAATTGAATATACCTGGACCCCAATATATCTCCTGAAACTGTGTCAAAAGCTCTGCACAAGTCAAGATATATCCATTTGCAGTACTAAATAACTTGTTCTGGTACCACCAGAGATGTTGTCATGTTTTCTACGCTATAGTACCTCAAATCCTCATTCCTTTTTAAAGACAAATACTACTTTCTTTCCTATGGTATTTTCCTAGCCCTTCGTGGGCTGATTCTCAGTGACAGTCATTAAAGGTTCTCCACAGGTAGTTAGTTACCTGCTGCCATCTCAGATACTCTCAGTTGCCCCAAGACATGTAGTGTTAAAATATATACTCACATACTATGGGAGTCTTGTGTCTTTCTGGAGTAGCCACTGGAAGCAAGGAAAATACATGTCCCTAGGACATCATGAGTTTTCAAAAATTTGTATGCCTTTAATATAACCAAGAACCCTTAGTCATCTTTTGTACTGAGTTGTCTGTAATAACCTATTATGTTCTGCACACACATTAGAAGTAAGGTGACGGTAATAGAGAGTAAAGAAATTTAACTAAAAAAATGAACAGCATTTTACTGATCGCTCTTTACAACGATCTGTATACTGATTTTGACTAATATCAGTGCTCACAAAATGTAAATATTGAGCTTTTCTCTTTCAGTTATTAGCGGGAATTTAAAATTCAGTCATATAGAATGCAGGTTAGTTTGAAAAAAAAAACTGAATGAAAAATGTGGGAAAGAAATGCATATGAGAAAGTCAGGAAAGTCACAATCTGGTTTGAGATAACACCCAAGCAGGCAAACAAATGAAAGCTGAAAATTGTGCTTTTGCCAGTTTCCTGTCAGTCATGGAATTTTCATATTTAAGAATGTGTACAGAAGTTTTAGCACCAGAATGTAGCAGAAGTCTCTACAGTTAAAGGGTAAAGGCTGAATAATAAATATGTAAGTCATTGCATAGATATCTTCATTGTCTCGATATGTTGAATTATTTGAATATAGGTTAACCAGTGGTGGATGAGGTGTCACACCAGAACACCTGGTAAGTCTGCGTTTTGTATGCAGACATATATCTGCAAACCATTTAGCCCATACACCTATGAAGAAAGTGAGATTCGGGCTGTGTTCCTTGAATTCTATCTTTCATATACGATAAATGTTGTGTGTAATGTAACATTTCATATAACTATCAAATGTGACATTTATAATAAGATCTGGTGCCAAGGATCCAATTTCACATACTGTAGCTTCAAGACCCATGTGCTTATTCTGTGAAGAATCAAAACTGCAGGCTATTGTGACTAAGAAAACATTGTTCCTCAGCTATTCAGGGACCACAGTTGGGGTCCAAACCCCTATGTAGCAGAAAGAGCTGTGAGAGGAGGGCAAGAAAATATGAGATTGGTTTGTTTTTTTTTTTCCCAAGGAAAATAAAGACATATAGTCATGTTTATGTATACTATCACAAAGTACTGTGTTTTCAATTAATTAGTGTGACACCAACCAATAAAATACAGGAACTACAGAGTTAGGTATTGTTTTCTGGTTTTATCTCACTGCGTTACGAACAAAAATTATCTATCTTTGGTTTTGAGTTTCCTCGTGTAAGTCACTATTCAGTATTTAAATGTGAATATCCTCTAGTGCCCAATTACACTGTAATTCTTTTTAGATGATGTTTAAATAAAATTAAGCCAGACTTTTTTTTAAGGAAGTGTTATATAGTGTGCTTTGGGAATAAGTTGTCTTGCTTTGACTTGTTTTTCCTTTTATCTACAGTTTGACAAAAATACAACTGGGTAAATAATAAACAGTTCAGTCCTCTGTGATCAGCAGGCAGGTGGAGTCTGAATGCTAAGTTTAATTCTGTCTGTCTTTCCACTGCATTGAGGTCGTCTTCTCTTGAAGTTCTTAGCAACACAGAGATGCTGACCTCAAATCTGTCAACATTTGCCCAGCTGTTATAATAACTGACACATATAGATTTTATTTTCTTCATGTTGTTTTTGTGTATATCTTCATGACTAATTCAAAAAATGTATTGTCCGGTGGGAGGGAAGGACTGAATTGCCCAGTGGGGCTTTGCTTTTTGATATGTGGAGAATACAGTAAAGCCACAGACAGAGGTCCAAGAATTTAGAAAAGAAAGTGGCAAAAGAAAAAAAGCAAAAGACAAAAGACAAGGGGCAAAAGGAAGATGATGAAAGGTAAGGGCAAAGGGAAGGAGAAAAAGAAAAAAGAAAAAAGAAAAAAAGAGGGAAAAAAAAACAGAAAAGGAAGAAGAAAAAAGTAAGGAGAAAAGCAAGACATGACTAGGAAATTTGGGATTGATGTGCGGAGAGACGTATAACAAAAGCCTCTGACATATAAATGACAGCATACCTAGCTGGGTCTGGCTACATAACCTTTGGCCATGTAGATGAACATTTTTCACTGTCAGTATCTGACTTAGATGCTGTAGATATATGATTATGGAACAAGCTTAGAAACAAGGACGTACACCACACAATTACGTTTGCCCATCACTGTGTCATTTACATCAACAGTGTCACGCGTCAGAGAGTATTGCCATAAGGAAGATGATGGACAGAATTCTTTGGGTTTTTCATTGGTTTAAATATGAAGAGATGAATAATAATTTTAAAGTGTCACTCATTACTGGAAGCTGTAGAGAACTAGGAGAATCAGCCTCCTCCCAAAGCCTGCAGGGATGCACCATAACCACTCTGCTTGTGCGGTTCCTGGAGCTGGTGAGTAGAAGGGTTTAGCTTTTCCCTGATGACAGGCTCTCCCCATGGAAGGACTGCCTGTATTCTGCAAAGAAACGAAGATCTGGGAATAAACACTTGTTCTCTCCTTCATGTCTTTTTTGTGCGCTGGAGCATCTGGATAGAATCTGTGCTTTATCTTTGTAGCCATCAGTATGCTCTTCTGCAACTTTTAACGAGCATTGTTGCAATAGTTATTAAAAGAAAAAGTGTTTTGAATCACTTTCAGAATGAAAAGTCCCATCACTGATCATTAATGGCACCCAAATAAATAAAGTGGCAAATTGCAAGACAAGAGCATGGAAACTGATTTGCCATGGTGCAGAAGCTACTCTAAGTGGTTTTGCTATGGAGGACATTGCTGTGTGACACTGTTGTTATTTATCTGCCTTCAGTTTTGACACCTATTCCAGCCTGCTCATATCTTGCTGCCTTTAGTTCCAGTCAGAGGTCGCTGCCCCTGCCTTTGATAGAACTGCATATGCAGGTGCTTCTTAACCTAATTTTGTTTTACAAGTGTGGTTTTCTTGAACTGCAGCATTTTTTGACAGAGGTCTGGCATGGATGAACATACATAGTGATGTTTCTCTACACTTATGCAGACTGGGGGCCTAAAGAGGTTAGGAGAAAATTTGTTTCATAATGCTTATTTCACTAGAGATGTTCTGAATTTTCTTGCTTTAAAACAGCTCTGGAGCATGACTGGGTGCATAGATGAAGTTGACCGGTGTTTTGAGACATACAGACAGCTCTTCCTGAGGCGATTCTCATGCCAATGCAACTTGCTGGCATGTGTTAAGGTTGACTTTTTCCCAGGTTAAACCAGCAGGGAGCTAGTGTTCAGCTTTCCTGCTGTAATCAAGGAGGCTTAACAAATCTGTTCAATTCTCATTTCCTCACAGAATAGAAAAATGGGATTCAATCCGAAAGTATTATACTTATTTTTAGATACCTTGTGTGTACTTTGTGCTTTGATGATTTTCCTCTCTCTCAAAATAATGTAATTGTCAAAATTAGTAGACATTTTCCAGGAAATATGAATTTTATTTTTTTTTTTTTTGTGCAGAGAGAATTTTACTTACCGTTGAGGTAGGAGATGGTATTTTGGATTTAATTCAGTTGCACAGATCATGTTTGACTGTATTTAAAAACAAACCAACCAACCAACAAAACCAAAAACACCACCCTCATGTTGTGTCCTTAAGTCCACAGCCCTTTTATGAGAATAGGGAAGTGCATCATATGATAGTAGTAGAACAGAAGGAACAGTTTCTGCAGAAGAAAATGCAAATTCAGTTCCGCTGCTGAAGTGAAAGAATTTAGAGTGAGCATCAGCTGGCAAGCTTAACTGATGTGCATGCTTAAACCACATCTGAATTACAAGATACTCGGTCAATTTTTAACCTGCATCGCTTAAAAAAATCTGAAGACATCTAAGCCGTTAATGAAGAGAGAATGTTAAGTCAATATCACTTTATAAATAATGAATAATTTGAAAAATGCCTTTCTGCTATAGAGCATGTAATTTATTTTTTTTACTAGTAAAAAGATAAAATTGTCTAGTTTGGGACTTTTTTCATTATTTATTTATAACTGCTCCCCTGCAATATTAACTAATAGGGGTTAGAATTTAATTGTGCAGATGAGCCATTTGTGGTACAGTTATACAGAATATCGGAAAACTTGACAATACTAAAAAAAAAAAAAACAAAACAAATAAAAAACAGTTGTAAATAGAGATCCCTGCTGCCTTAACAAATGTCAGGGGCTTTTTAAAAGCTAGGGTTCTCAGAGGGAATATGTGCATCTAAGTCATCAATCTCAGAAAAAACTATGCTCCAGGTCCTCAGCAGAAACTACAGAAAGGGCACAGTATTTTTTCTACTGACACATCATACACAAAATTGATCCCACTACTGAAGCAGTAGATTAAAAACATTTTTTTTCAAAGAATGTTCTAATACTAATTTTTAACCTTAAAATTAGGGTTTTATTCCAGCAGATCACCAGGTAAACTTTAAATAAGTTTAGAAAAATAAGCTATTCAAATAATTTCTATGACTCCTTTAGCAACTCAATAGCAGTTTGTGCTTGATAAGGCAAAATTCATCCACGTGCAGAAGATCAGGGAAAGGCTTATATGTTATCTTAGAGGGGTCTCTGAAAGTCTACCACTTTCAAGGTTCTGAGATGGATTTAAGTAATACATAATGCTAATTACGGTTCTCCTCAAACAGATGTGTTCCACTCCAGGGATGAATTTTTTCCACTGAATACTAATTTGCTTACTTGTAAGCATCCACAGGGCTTACGAATAACATCTATACTGAGGTTTCAATGTGCTCGTACTAGATCTGCCATGCTTTTAGAAAAATACATTTTCACATCCTGTCCCTGAAAAGCAGAAATGTTTGTTCAAAAATGAGAATATTTGGCAAGCGATTTTGTGTTTCCACCTGAAAGAGCATATCAGGAAAGAACTGGAGCAAAACTTACTCTAGACTCTAATGGGACTAACAATGTTTTCACGTGCATTATTGTCAGTCCCTTTCAGGTAAGTAAGGGATCGAATTCACTCCGCTTCGTGGATACTCCGTGTATTTACATCAGCATGTGTCAGCTGGTCTGAACTCATGGACAGTTTACACTTTCAGATTGTTTAAGCTTCCTTATTTCCAGTATTCAGATTTTTGTGTTACATCTTGGCTTCTTCAGCTGAGAGGCAGTGAAAATGTCTTTTGCTGAGGCTTCCTAGACAAGCAGTTGGGTTTTTCTCATGAGTAGCAAAGATCTCATTCTGTTGCCTACTACGTGGAACTAGTTTCAAGCTCAGATACAGCCTTTCCCAAACTACATTGTCATTTCACCCTCCAGGACCCCTGATACATGTAAGTGACCTGACTCACAAAAGGTAGATCATGCTCAGGGCCAACATAAAAAAAGAAATTTAAGTAAAACTAGAGGGGCAGGTAGAAATGGAGTAGGAACACAGTTTCTGACAGTTCAGCCAATGAGCAATATCTTGTTGAGCTGCTGTGACTCCGCTGCATTTGAGCAAGTGCCCATAACTCCTATAAACAGGCTAGTAAATCATAGCTTCATCTTACCCCCAACACTTGGCATCCTAGAAGACTCCTGATGACTACTGGATTTGTTGCGGTTCTGATTCTTCCTTTTATTGTTGGCTGCACGGACAGAACGGAAAAGCACTTCACTTGCCTTGAAGAAGGCAACCATGAATGGTTGTTTTGACTGAGGTCCATGTCTTCCAACCAGACCAGCAGATTTAACGTTGATACTTCGACCTATAGACGAATGGAGATAGTAAGGTAAAAGGTGAACTTCTGCCCCTCCTGAAGCCACAGTGGGAGTTCAACTGCTGACTGAAGCGTGACAAGGGTTATTTTACCCATAATCCTGAAGTCATGTGACTAAAATTCCTAACTGCGTTTTGTTAAATGGAATATTAAAGACAAAAAAAAATATCACCAATTTACAAAAATTTCAACAGCTTTACTGGTAGCTTGCTGTTGCATAAAACTGTGGTCTCTATGCTATATATCTTATTCATTACTCAAATATTCTCCTTCAGTCTCACATATACACCTATAGAACTGAGAAATAAATGAGCCCCATTAAAGTCTGTAGGCTATTGAAAGGCTAATGAGGTGCAGTCATCTAATTTTTGCATCACTTGAGTGTGAGATGTGGAACCTTATAGACTCAAAGCAAATCAGTAGCAAAGAGAAGTGTAGATAATAAATATACTTCTGCTTTAAAAATAAATATTGTGCAGTGTTACTCAAACCGATGTTCATTCACTAGTAAAGGTAGGAAGGCATCCAGTGGTTCAAGAGAACGGACTTTGAAATATGTACGTTATTGACTCTGGTTCTGTTCCCAGGGGATGTGCATATTTCTTTAAAATATTTGTTCAGTCAGGACTGTGTGGTAAGCTCACTATATTACAGGATCTAAACCTCAGTAAAAGAAAAGAAAGCAAAACAAGTCACTGAAACTGCATCAGTGACATTTTAGCAAATAAACCCTTGCTCTTAACAGAATTTATTTTGGCAGCATAAACACTTTTGTGCGTACGTGTACTATGCAGAACCCTTCAACCGTCAGAAAATGAGACAGTGTCATGTGAAGCTGTGCAGCTGTGCTGGGTGGGGGACACAGAGCTCCTTTAAACGGGAAGGTACGGGCACAGGCACCGCATCAGGGAGCCTGGGGATTCCTCCGAACTGACTGGAAAAGTTTGCTATGTGGGCAACGAAGGAGCATCTGCCTCACAAACGTATAATACCGTTAACTCAATCATCCTGAAAAAGAACTTGGAAATAAGCATAGGAGTAAACCTTATAGAAATAAGCATACAGGTTTCCTTTTCAAACACAAACTTACAGTGGCTGTACGCCAGAGTCTATATTTCTTAGAAAAACTCTATCACTGGTGTAAATGAAAGAGGCAGTTTGATTTGTGGTTAAAGTAGTTTCCATTCTACTTCCACTGTAACAAATGTATTAATTCAGCTCAGACTTCCTCCTTCTGGCAGCCCTTTTGCAGTAAAAAGAGAAATTAGAAGTTCCAGCCAAATACCATACCTTGAACTGACCCACTTCAATACATAAACACTTTTACAACATGTTTATTCAGGTGTAGCACTTTAAATTGGTTTAAGATGTTTCCAGTGACAGAGAGACCAGCAAAGGCAGGAGAAGAACTGAGAAAGTTAGCAGTTATGGAGCAGAGTAATTGGCAACATATTCTGAACAATTTTGATAATTACTTTTTGACTGCAAGGGAAAACTATATTTGTTGAAGCTTCTGATTTCATTTTAAATGACTTTTTAGTCTTGTGTTTCTTTAATTCCTCTTTTCATGTGTTTGAGTTACTATTAAATAATTCAGTAACATTAATTTCTATATGTTCCAATCTTCTCTTGCAAGTCAGATATGAAAAACTGTACAGACTATTCTCTATTCATTGCAACATGGACAAACTAGCCTCTTACCACAAAGTTCCAAGTTTCCCCTCATTTCTAGAGGGAATATTTTTACTATTTTTCTTTATTTTTTGTTCCAATGACTTTCAGAATTTTAATTTTATCTGTAAAAGATTAATACCTTACTGGTGGACACTTTAAGAATACTATTAGATTTATATACTGAGGGCTGTAAAGATGTGTGGAGGTTTTCTGAATTTAAATCTAGGTTCTCTGAATTTACAATGGTGGATATTGTGTGCGAAGCAAAATATCCTTCAAACCAATGTGAACTCCCTTTAAAATAACTTTTAATATTATTAAGTTTCCTCTGGGTTTCCTTTAGACTCCAGCAATGAGATGGCTATTAAGATTCCACAAGTTAAGGCTTACTTGGTTATTTAGGGTGTAGAGATATACTATAAAAAATTAATCCTGTAACCCACAGCCTTTTTACACACAGAAACAGCTTATGTGTCTTTATTCCTTTATTTGCTTGATCTTTTAAGCAGCCAGCCTGAGTTTTTAGAAGCCATTTGTTCAATCCGTGAATGGTATATGCACTGAGTCTGCTTCTAGTGCAGTCAACAGGAAAACCTTTATTGACTTCTGTGGGTCCATCATGAAACTTTTCTCTCTCGGTTTATCATATACCTTAGCCTAACTGCAACTTTCAGAAGATGAAGCAATTAAAATATACGCTGCCCCTGAGACGCTATATTTCTTCTTCTGAGGATCTCTGAACTGTTTGGTTTGGGAATTCAAACCACATATGTTGTCTCCATTTTAGGTTGCTTCTGTGCAGAAGAAAGTTTGCATTTACAGAACTTCTATTATCCTTTATTAAAAAAAAAAAAAGAATTAAAAAAAAAAGAATGTGTGCACGTGGGAGATTTCCTTCAGTCTACGAATACAAAGCTTTGCCCCTTCCCAAACAGGAGGTATTTCAAATGCATCAAGCTTTCTGCCACAGCAGTAGCTCCATCTGTGTGCTCTGGCCTCGTTAGGCAGTCCTCGCCTTTGTCCGTAGTGTGGACTTCAGAATACAGTAAGAAAAATCTTACCCTAACCTGAACTGGCCTTTGTAACAAGAACCAGGTTCCGCTGCCTGTTCTAGATGGCTCCGCTGAGCCCGGCTGCTGCAATTGCCCCTACATGCAGAAAAAACAAATAGGCATAACAGATGGACTTCCTGTATGCGAGGACAGTCCAGAGCCTTTGTATTCCTTGCATTCTGGCATGTGCTTCTTAATCCTGCTATGACAATTTATTCTCTCTTCTCCATATTGACAGGTATATTTGGAGACTAAGACTTATTTAAAGCATTATGTTCCAAAC